TGTCCGTACAAAGTGGTGAGTTGTGGATGCTGGCGAAGAAGGAGCAACATCTGAACCTGTGGCTGGGTGGCTGGTGATTCACCAGGGTTGTGTGGATTGCTACTGGGTGGCTGGCATGCACAAGCCTGGGTGGCCAAAAAACACCTCAACGAGGGGTCAAACAGTCAAACATAACATAAACTGGGAAAACACACCAACATGGCAAAGGGGCATCAAATCTCTTTGGGACATCATGAGTAAAAAAGAAAACACTCCCACACCATCCCGCTTCATCCCTCACATCGGTGGCGCCCAAAAACCTGCAAAGGGAAGGTTTGGTCGTCTCCCCAAAGCGAAACTTCACAAGAACTGAAAGGACTGCACATCAAAATTGAGATAGGACTGAAAAATTAAGGGGGATAATCCAATGAAGTTTACAAGCAAAAAAGGTGAAGTTTGGACAAACACCGGTGCCCGCATGCAGTCACAATAGCAAGATTCTTGTTGAGCCAACTCTTCGATGTGCGGATGTGTGCCGATGAGTCCCTCATGCTTCTCGCAGCATGAATACACCCTGAACGATGTTTGTCCCTCTGAGATGATGTGTTTGGCATGGAAAACGCTTGAACACAGACACCAAACTTTGGGGGAGGTGTGGCGCTGGCAAAGAAAAGGACATGCGACATGCTGCAGGAAAATGTCCTCTTCTGGCTCTGCAGCAAATTCACACTCTCACTTCACCTGTCTGGGAACTGGCAAAAAACAAGAACGGGCACCCCTAAAGAAAATATCCCATCAACATCCATCAACCATCAGGTCATTCACGAGATAGTCGGTGGCTGGCTTGGTGCTTTGATATTGCTTTCATGCCAAAAACCGGCTTTACACTGGGCCCAAAACGCCTGGTAAACCCTGCACACTCAACGACCCGGTGATGACTCGTCTCGTCCTGTCCGGTGGGAGCAGCGCCTAGCTCGGGCTTCTCCATCTCAGGGTTGATGGCTAGCAGAAGGGACTGACACAGGACAGCATCGGACTCGTTTGTGCTGTGGGGGGGGTCTCTACAAAAGAATCCCCCTCACCACACGAATTGAACGTCCATCAGCCGAAACCATCTGCCCGCACCACTGAACCACTGCGTGATGTGTTGCCTCAGCTTTGAAAAGCCCGCTCGAATCGGAGCGGTTTGCTCTGCTAAAACACCCAAAAGGCTTGTAACATGGATGAAATCCGATGGATGTTCAGCCGTGTTCAGCCTCCTAACTTGAGTCCCAGTACCTTTGTTCAGCCACTTCTCGCCTTCAAGGACTGCCCAAAAACATCCAAAAAGCCGGGTCAGAGACGTTCACTTTGCCCAACTGGGCAGTGCAAATATCGAGTTCCCGCCTCGAGCCTACATATAGATATTGCATGATATTGCATGCTGCATATTTATCCATGGTTTGGAGGGCTCATATCTTCAAGACCAGCCGCAGCCCCCCATAGGCCGCCTTGAGCTGATCCGCGTTGTAGAGCGCCTCTGTGCCCTCCGTCGTCATCTGCAGCTCGTTGAATTCCTGCGCGGCCCGCGGTGGAGAGGGGCCCGGCCTTCGCTCTGGAGGTGACGGGCGATTTCGGGGAGGCCAGTTCAGCCTGCCATGACCATCGCCGCTGGGTTGGGGTTGGAGGACATCTTCTTGGTTTGGGCACACCGTCTGAAGGGGCCAATGGTGAGAGGCTCTCTATGGTGAGGCCATACCCAAGGCATGCGCAAAGCGGCTGCACCGTCAAGCGACTGTAAAATGGTACAAACCTCGAACCGTTTGAGACGTTTAAAAAAGAACGAACTCAGAACTCATGACTGGGCCTCTCTAAGTTCTCTCCATGCCTGAACTAGCACTTAGGCCTCAGAGGCCTCAGAAAACATGACGTTCTTACGGTCTAAGATTTTGGGACCACGTCGTGGCGATCTGGCAGATATAAACTCATATATGACCAGTGACCAGCCAGGCCCCATTTCCGAAGTCTGATGGCTTCTTGAAACAAAGGTGGCTTTGGCTTGGTTCTCTATCCATCGCAAACTCCACGCCCCAACCAGCCCACCAGTGGATTCCCTCGGCTCTTACCGCCAGCCCACGTGCGGTGTTGATACGGACACCCCTCCACATGCCCTCCACCCAGCTCCGCCGGTGTCCTTCAGGTTCAAAACGCCATCCCGGTCCAGATCAAACTTCTCGAAGATCTGGTCGAAGACACGGTATCCGTGGAACCCCACACACCCACCCCACAGATACACGACGTGCGTGGGATCTTGGGTTTCAGGTGGGATCTTGGGTTTCTATATCCCTTTTCATCAGTGCCCAGTGGATGATCATGGATAGAAAAAATGCCGACGTCTCAAAAATCGTCACCCTAAGAATCCTTGGGCTCATGGATGAGTGTGGAGCAACCAGTATATAGTATATAACATCTCATGAAACACCTGCTATTATCACCCATATCACCTAGCAGATCCGCACGAACCCCCGGCGGCTTCGAACGGCTTCCAACGGCTTCCGCCCACCCACAAAAACCGGTCGAACTTCTTCCACCGTGCTCCAGTTCGAGCAACCTCCCCAGTGGCGCAGCGCTCACTTTTGCGGATCGCCGGATCGCCGTCCTCAAAGATGTCCTGATAGGTTTGAGCTTCCTCAATCGTGCAGCCACCTTGAAAACCGCACCCGTGAAAACCGAGAATGCAAAACCCACCCACCGGATTGATTGGCCGGCATGAAGTTCTCACCGGCTGAGAACTCAAGATCAGACAAACACCACCGGAACGCAGGCTGCCTCTCACATCCGAGGAAACTCAGATGTCGGGGTGCTCACTGGGGAAAATACTGCTCAGCATCAAATGTCAAGGGAACCTCCGACTTACGAAACCTGGAAGGTGCATGCATGAAGCTTCATGTCATATCAGGGGCAAAATCCAAAGTCTGTCAAAATCGCAGAGTCTGTGCATAGCTGAGCTGGTCTATCTCGATACCCTTTCACCATGGTCTATCTCCACTTACTCGCTAGCTCGATGTTGCCTTCAGATCCACGATTCCCGAACGACCTGGTCGGGTTTTTGTTTCACGCCCCCCACGGCCGTGCTGAGCAGCCCCAGTGTCAAAGTAGGCCAGTTGGACCATCGGACGGCTTCTGCTTTGCGGAGAAACATCCAAGACAGTCATCGATGCCGAACGAGTCGAAGGAGTTGGAGAGACGCCATACAACACACGCAACTACGGCGTTGGAAGACACAATTTGCGCCTCCATTCAAGCAGAAGCGGCTTCGGAGCAAAAAGCAAATAAATACAAATGCTGCCCAACAAATGTGGGGCAGCCGGTCCAAATGCCCAGAAATGCGGACCCAAGTGTGAGAGTCTTTCGTCTCTTCAAAACTGCCCAAGTCCTTCACATGGGAACCATGTGTTGTTGAACTTAAGGGGGCTTCCAACATCTATGCCTTTTAAGAAAAACCAATCACGCTTGCCCGCAGGGCCAGATTGCCCAAATGATGTCCAATCTCCGACACGGACGCCCGCCCTGGACTGGGCTAAGACACCCAAAGCAGCCTGTGCATCGAATCTTTATCTCCGATCAAATGAGCCTTCTCTTCGAACAGACTTGGTTGTCTCACCATGTTCAGAGTGTTAGCCGAGTGTTAGCCAAGCCCCCACCGATCAACACAAACTACAGATTCGATCTGCAGGATGATGGCAATTGAGTACGGAAGAAGTTTGAGAGGGTTTTCCACTTTGGGGTTGGTCAAATGCCCCATGCATGTCTGGATGTCCATGTACAAAGACCTGGGCAGACCGCGCTGGGTGGTGCGCCATGTCCAACAGAAGGACCTTCATCAATTAATGATTATAATGGACATGACAAATTCCTAGGTCTAGTGTGTATATTATATATACAGTATATACCAGCTGCTTCCAAGGGGTTACCAATGGACAGCCCTACACTGCTTATATATAGGTCACCATTGGACACCCATTGGAAGCTCTAGGATATAGAGAGAGAGAGAGAGCTTTAGATACGACGTCCTACCTTTCCCGATCCGTTGATAGTTACTACCGATCCTTCACCACCCGTTCCAGACTTGACCACCCCTGGATCGGTGTTCATGCATCCATTCTATGCCCTCCCAATGGATCGGTGAGCTCCAAAAACGAATTGGCTTGTATCTGTAGCTGGGGATGGAGGAGCTTCTTCTGCTTTCTTCTCCCTTGACCCTTTCGACATGTTGGACATGTCATGCTTCATTCCGGTCAAAAGACATTGAGGCTTCGGATGTCGAACAGAAAATGCCCGCCAGGGCATTACCCGGTCAGCACTCGCAACCATCTCGGACGCGCAGAAAATCTGGCCTGGCAGTCGCAGCGTCGACACGTGATGGACCGTCCATCTCTGAGAACCTTTCGGGACAGACCCCTCAGAAAAATGGGACATGGGGAGAGGATTCCGTGGCCCAAAAGAAGACCCGGTCACCGATTTGGGTCCAATCGTCCTGGAAAAACGGACGAAAAAAGCTCAGCAGAAGTCTTCCCAAGGTGTGGCATGTGAAAAACGAGAAGCACCTCCGAACAGCCTGAACGCAGAAGATCTATACCTCACTCAAGGGATGCGCCTCTATTAAGACCAGTGGATGCGTCATTCTGATTGTCATTGCAAGTTCGGGAGTTGAGAGTGGTGACTTCCCCCAGGTCGCCCCAATGTGGACCACAAACATCTATATAGACCACACAGATGAAAAAGTGTACATCAAGAAGCTAGTTCTGAGTGTCCTTTCCCAGCAAAAATTGATGCAAAAACGCCAAGAAAAGCCATGTTCGCAAGTGCTTTTCTCAGTCACAAGAGTCACGGAGTATCCACTTTCCAAACAGTCTTAGAACCCTATAGTGACTATAGTGGATGAGTCGATTGTGACGTTCCACGAGAATATGGAACAGCATCCGCAACCCACCGGCCTGTCCGGGAGCAACGCCTTGCTGGCCACGCGCGTTGCCGGAGTCTTACCTTAGAGTCGGCGGTGATGGGGCTGTGCGAACATCCACCCGAACTCCATGGAACTGGATCTCAGCTTGCTACTAGGAACAGGTGCCTTACTAGTAGTAACAAGGTTCGCTACTAGGAACAAGTGCCTTACTACTAGTAACAAGTGCCTTACTAGTAGTAACAAGTGCCTTCCTATCCGTCCTGTTCCTAAGAGCTTCCTATTGCTAGTCGCTTTGGGGTACGGAGGTTCGATCCGCCCATGATCTACCAGGACCATCCTGGTCGGATCGTCCGATCGTCCGGGCTGATCCCTAACATGGGACACCCACATGGTCGGATCGTCCCGGTAGGTGTTTATAGGCGTTTTGCTTCACACATAATTTCGCGGAGTGAAAACCGCCGGCGTCGTCTTCGGATGGTCCTGGTCATTCCGAGTCTTCGGGCTCGATGCCATGCACTTCCACGATGATTCAAAGACAAAGGTCCCTGGACCTTCAAGGGGTGTTCTGTCTGGAGGTCCCTTAGTGTAGGGACATGAAGGTGCTGGCAGTTCATGTTTTGTGCTTTGAGATCCTCCATGGGGTTTAGTTTGGGTCTATCCTTTTACCAGTAACAGTGGATGATGGTTAGGTGGCAGGCCTTTCTCAAAAATAGTGATGTTCTTGTTTACCGACAGTTACAGGTAAGAGTTTGGACAGCTTTTCTCTGATGGGTTTTGGCCTTTTTGGGCCATCTGAAAAACATCCGCTCCAAAGATCCGCGCAATGCACTACGCGCATCTGCGCAACGCATCTCGCGCATCGGCCGAAGGAGAACGTTGTTCTGGCAAAGGTACTTGGCCTGCTCCAGGACACGCATGGCCTCATCGACCTGTAAACAAAGGGAGTCAAGAAAAACAAGAAAGCTTGGAGAAATGGGACCCTGGGAGAGAAGATGGGCAAATTGGTTTCTAGATCTTTGTAATTAGTGAAAGAAGAACGGCCAAAGGACAAAAGAAGGACTCCCCGTGGAGTCAACAAAAACACCAGTCACACGCGTTCGCCTTCGCTTCTGACAGCTGTCGCCGTCGCGTCGCACCGAAGGACAAGGACGCAGAGTGGCCTTCGCCTTGAGTTGGTGCTCGCTGTCCAGGAGGATTAAAAGCTCGGAATTGTCCATCTCCAGCATCATGCCTGGCAGGGTTCGCATTGGCAGCATGGGTTCTCTTCAATGACCCGGTTTTCATGCTTTTGGGCACGGCTTTTGAATGACTCGGAGGCCGCAGCTCGAACTCCTTGCTTTTTGGAACCAACGATGTGTGTCTAAAAAAACATCTACAAAGCCTCTTTATATCATATGGGGAGCTTTATATCCTGTAACCCTGGTTGACCCCTGAACATGTACTATTATGTACTATTTCTCTTCAAGGGATGTCAACCGATCCCATGGTTTGCAGGGTGATGAAGAGCAACTGTACTCGCTCACGCTCTTTTTCCACTTGAGCCAA